CGTTGAAAAACTTTACTTTCAACGCTGGCTTTGATTAATTAACATTTATGTTTTTGGCCCTAATGTAAAGCAAGATGTTGTATATTCAACAACTAACCTGTAAAGTTTTTGTAATCTTAGACAGCAACTAACTAAATCCTGCATTACACTTTTAAGATGTGTCACATCGTTTAGATAATTGATTTTAGTCACATAACAAATTAAAAAAATGGTGAAAATGGTTTTTAACTTGGCTGCAGACACTCGTCTTGAAGCAAAAACCTGACTTTTAAACATGAATAATGCACAAAGAATGTATTTTTGATAAATACTGAAGACGTTCTCGGAGATAAAGTTGCTGTGAGCATTTTAGAGTTTGCACATTAGTTGGCATCAGTGTTTATTTCCACTGTGTAAAGAAAGATGTGATATATTTGATGATGTACCTGGAAGGTTTTTGTATCCTCTGTGAGTGAAAAAAAAAGTTTAGCGAGCAGCTACCTACATTGATTACACTTTTAAAACTTGTCTCTCCTGTTAGATAATTGATTTAAACCTTAGAACTAAAAGTCACATTCATATTTGACATTAAAAAATAAACTATGAGATAAATATTCAATAGTATCCTGGGTTAGCACATCCTAACGGACTTCTCATACACCTGCACAGACATATAATCTTATTTTAGTGCTTGAAGACAGATTTTTTTAACATGAGTAAAGCACAAAGAGTGAATCAATTACAACTACTGGACACAATCCTGGAAAATAAAGTTGCTGTCAGCTTCCAAAAACCCTTAGTTACCATTTTCATCTCTAATATAAAGAAAGTGATTTTGTAATCCCATGTAAGAGGAGCAAACATGTTTAGTGAGCAACTAAATTGATTCTGTATTGCCTCTTTAAAACTTTAAATATGGATTATGCAGGATTATTATGGAGGTTTTTCATAAATATTAATAAAGTTACTGTGAGCATTGAGGAAAACCTTTTTTGTCACTCTTGAAGATTAGCTACCATCTATATTCTCATCTGTTGAGTAAAGAAAATACTATGTAGTTGATGACTGACCAGTAAAGTTTATGTAAAAGATTCTGTTAGATGATGGATTTTCAAACTTAAAAGTTAAAAGCTCAGAAACTCAAAGTTAAAATTCAAAAATTTGCCGCTGACATATAAAATGCTGAAAATTAATCCAGATTTTTGTTTGTTTCTGCAGCTAAAAGCAGACAAGGAGCAACATGCTGTGTTTTCTGTGTTCGATGAGAACAAGAGCTGGTACCTGGACGACAACATTCGTCAGTATACTGATCGATCCAAAGTCAACAAGGCAGATCCGGACTTCTATAAATCCAACGTCATGCACAGTGAGTTTATGACATGTAACATTTACAGATATGACATACGTACTCATATTTTCCTTTTCTAATATTTGTGTAAATTTCACCGCAGCGATCAACGGTTACATGTTTGAAAGCGGCCCGCAGTTGGGTTTCTGCAACGGGGAAGTTGCAACTTGGCACGTGTCCAGTATCGGAGCTCAGGACTACATCCAGACCGCCACCTTCTACGGACATACGTTTGAGCTGAACGAGAGGACGGAGGACTTTCTCAGCCTCTACCCAATGACTGGAGAATCCATCACCATAACAATGGACAACATCGGTCAGTTCTAGCAGACAGTGTGTCTATATGTCAAATACAGGGTCGGATTTAACCTGAGAAATATCCTGACAGGTTGCTGCAGGCATTAACAGATTTGGAGGGATTTGGAGATATTTCGCTTGTATCATATGTCTTCCTTTAGACTGATCACACATGTAGGTATTTAGTTCACTTCATTTTGTTCTTTCAATTTGTGTCTTTAGATTTCATCTTTAAAGGCTGTTTCCTCAAAATAAGTTCTTTCTCATACTGAGACAGAATGTCCACTTCAGTAGCACCAAGCTTTCCAGTTTCATTCCTTTCAAATATTATTGATTTATTTATTTGTTTTCACAAAGGGGTTTGGTCATGTATCATTTACAAATTGATTTTGTTTATAAAAACATGGCAAAAACTGATTTTTTGCTGACTACTGACAATGTTTTCTGCCTTATGGAGTGATAAAAAAAGATCCCCTCCACAAAAAATTAGAAGCTGGCTTCATTCAGTGTTTAGAATACTGTTATGGATATTATTGCCAGTTAGGGCATTTGTATGCATATATCTAATTTGATAGTCTTATTTATTAATACAGTACAACAACAACAACAACAACAAAAATCATTGCCTTATCGTAAATAATAGGGAAGTTTCATGGTGATCTATTGGTAGAAACGTATATTCACCTGTACTGTCTCCCCTTAACTATAATTCATAGAGACAGTGAATGAAGTAGTTGTTAATGCCACCATCTCTAACCTTTGCATGTCAAAAGGGACATTTTTTTAAAGGATGATTTTTATGCGTCTCTCTTGAATCAGGTGTCTGGCTGCTCGCTTCCCTCAATTCCCATGAGACAACCAAAGGAATGCATTTGAAGTTTCAGGACGTCGAGTGCTACCGCGACTACATGTATGAGTACGACTACGACGAAACGAAAACAAACAAGGAATTTACTGTGTGGAACCCTCTGAGCTTGGACGAAATAAAAAAAGAGGAGGAAGTAGTACAACCTGAGAAAGAAGCCCCGGCAGTGGTGGATATTTACACGTACGGATTTGCAGAAGAATTAGGTCTCAGGTCTCTGAAGAACAAAACGACCGACTCGGATGTGGAGCAGCTGGACCTCTCTTTCCTTGATTATGATTTTTATGATGGAGATGTGGCTGTCACCCCGAATTCCAAGAAGACAAAGAATAAAACTGAGACCACTAATCCAAAGACAGATGCACTAAATGGAACGTTATCTTCAAACTGGACAGATGTGGGTGGCCAAAACCTGACAAAAGTTAATTTGCAAAACCAAAGCATTAGTGAGAACACAACACATGTACAGAACATTAGTGCACCATTAGTTTTTGACAATTCTTCTGTGTATGAAACAGAGAACACAACTGGTTTTAACAACCACAATGTGTCGCTAAAGACTGACAGTATAACTGCAAATGGCAGTGCTTCTGATGTCGATAACGTTGCTGTTTCAGGCACAGAAAACACAACAGTATCCAACAATACAGCATCATCAGTGGTTGGAAATGCGTCTACAGTGGCTACCAATCTTACCACCGCATTGTCAGGAAATGCAAGTTCCACCTTGGAAAGAGTAAATGTGACACTGACTGGTGATAGTCTGACATACGTGGAAGTGATTTCGGTGGAGGACTCAGAGGAGACACTCATTCGAGGAGATGTATTCTCATACTCGGTGCCTTCGTCTGGCAACGACAAGACCCCAAACAGCAACACATCTGCTACTGCTCAAAGTCCAAAAAGAGAGGGCGAGAATAACACAAAAACGACGCTGTCAGCAGATGGAACAAACCATTCGTTGTCTCTTCCAGCACCTAACTCTGTAGAAGTTAACATCAGCAGCACAGGTGTACGAAACTTAAACATCTTCAGGTCACCGGTGGGAAGCACCAACAATGAAACCAACAACAATGACTCGTCAATCACTGGAGCAAAGCTGGATTCCTCTGGAGTCGTGACTGTCAATTCCAGCCTTGAAAATGTAACACACATTTCCCTCAATAATCTAACAGTAGATGTATCCAGATCAGATCCGTCATGGAGGAATAGTTCAGAAAGTGGGGAGAACGTCACAGCTCTTCTTGAGGAGTTGACTTATACACCTTCATCCAAGGAACTCAATGACTCAGTAAGCAGCGAAGAAGAACTGTTTATCTACCTTCAAGAAAACCAAACACAGGTTATTAAAAGCTCCTCAATCAAACAACATAGCCATAACTGGACTTACGAGGGAACTCATAAGATTGTGCCCATGGAGATTCCCGACCACATGAAGAAATACATTGAGATCCGTCAAACTGAGCCGCCTCCGACAAGGAAGGTAAAGAAGGTGAACATGCGAAAGAGACCTCAGAAGGGTCAGGGTATGAAAACAAAGAAGAGGAAGGACTACAAGCCTCAGGCCAGGACTGGTTTACCATTCTCCCCTCGCGGATTCAATCCAGGAATGAGCCCTCGCGGGTCTCGACCAATGGCGCCACAACTGATCTCTGATGAGGAGCAGCTGATCAACATGCCTGTCGTCATTGGTGTGCCACGGCCCGATTTCAGCGACTACGAGCTGTACATTCCCGGAGACGAACCGGCTCATCTCGGGCTGGATGAACAAGATGTGAAAGCAAATGAGTACGAGTATGTGATGTACAAAGACCCCTACAGTAGCCATGAAGAGATCAAGAATTTGAACCTGGACGAGACCACCAAGTACCACTTAAAATTCTCAGGCCCAAACGTCAAGACTTACTTTATCGCTGCAGAGGAGGTTGTATGGGACTACGCTGGCTACGGGCAGAGGTGAGAAAAGCTTCTTGGAAAATTGTTCAGTATAAACTAGGGGTGTCCTGAACCTGATCTTAATACAAGGACTGGGGCCAGTCACAGGAATTTTTTGTTAACTGGTATCAGCATAAACCTGTGCAAGATTCTTTTTTTTAAGTCTGTTGTTGCACAAAAACATAGCACAAAAACTGTAAAAGCAGCTGCCAAATATTCTACTGGGATGTAGGAATGCTGCCCCAGTCTATTCTATCTTTCCTGTTTGCTGGGCTGTGGTCAGTAAATCTCATAGAAGTCTTTATTTCGGTGGTCCTTTACTACCGTAATGTCCCAACACAGAAATACCCATCTCCTTGGGTCCCTACAGTATTAAACAATGACAGGTTCCACCTTGCTGCACAACCAGCTATGACAGCTAATCCCTAATACTTTAAGTGTATATTATTTAGGAAAGCAGTATGAGCAGACACTTAGTATTAAATAACTTGGATCAGATTGGAGCAAAAATGTACTTAATCAGAATATCACTGGTAAAAACACACCCGCAGGCAATCATAGCTAAAGTAAGTTCCTGTTTTTGACAAACGAGGCTTGATAAATCGCACCAAAACCAGCGAGAGACGAAGTTCACCAAGGTGGTTTTCCGAGGCTACATGGACAGCAGCTTCAGCACCCCTGACATCCGTGGAGAGCTAGATGAACATCTGGGCATCCTGGGGCCTCTCATCAAGGCTGAGGTTGGACAAAGTATCATGGTAAGGCTGCTAATATCAGCCAGTTTCCTTCTAGACATGCAACATTCTTTAATTCTCTGTGTGAACACTTAACATTCTCTATTTTGACAGTTTTAAAGCACCTTTCTGATGTGCAGTCCTTTCCATTAATCTGATGGTGTCTGAACATGTTAGCTTCATGTCTGAATGAGCACCCTGCTTACTTTTCTGTAAAAGTTGCACTGGTATCTTACTAGATCTGATCTAGTAACATTTTATTTTCACTTTCAGCACATCACAAGTGTGAACTGCATGTAGTTGCATTAACAAATAGAAATGCCCAAGTAACAGTAGTTTAAGTTGTATGAAGTGAAATGTTTGGAGAATATTTGCACTTTTTTTTCTATTAAAAAACATGACTGAGAGTGAAAGACATAATGTTCTTTTGTCTTGTAGGTGGTGTTCAGGAACAACGCCAACCGTCCATATTCAATACATCCTAACGGGGTTTCATATACAAAGCAGTCGGAGGGTTTGTCCTACGAGGACGGCTCCAAGTACTGGTACAAATACGACAACGAGGTCCAGCCAAATACCACCTTCACATATTTATGGAAAGTCAACTCTATGGTTGGACCAAAACCGGGAGAGTCTGACTGCCGAACCTGGGCCTACTATTCAGGCGTCAATCCTGTGAGTATTTGACTGTGAAAAGAAGATATGGAGAGTTAAGATACGATTAAACTTTATTCATCTTGAAGCAAATTCTTGTACCAGATGTTGCTCAGGAAAAAAAACAAATAACAGGATAAATGCAGTGCCTAAAAATGGTAAAGCAATAAGTACCATACATCAGTGAGATAAAACAAGGCAAGAATAGAACAGTAAACATAGAGACCGAAAAAGGAGGGAATGCCTATTTATATTTAGCAACAGTGGCAGTTGATCAAAAGGGGGCGCAGGGACATCCCCCCCACTGCTAATGACCAGATAAAAAGTAGTTCTCAAACACAATATTACATTTGAATTAATTATAACTAAGTAATCATAACATTTATAATAATGTTCATATTCTTTGTACTATTAACAGATTTAATATTAGTATTTACTGCGTGTTTACTAACTTTACATTCCCTGGATGCTGGGCACACATGATAGTGTGTGTAGCTCGAAAAACTTTTCGTGATCATGTGACCTTGACCCGGGCTCTGATTGGCAGCTGCAGATTTTCCCACGGGGTGCATAGAGAAGAGCCAAGTTTTTTTCAAATAACAGGACTCCAGACTGCATTTGTGACCTTTTTTTTTAAGCTGTATTAGTGTCACTGTAACCGGCACAGGGAGCTGCTGTGTTAACCACAGTGGTGGAAAGAAGCACTTTTACAGCTTTGGTGTACTGCAGTATTTACATTTTTTAATTTAAATGTATTTTAAAATTAGGTGTTCTCGTGAAAAGTGGAGCACACCTGCATTTGTTTTTTTTTTTTAGAAAAGATGGCGTGTAGAATACATGTAAGTTGGTTTAACCTCAGACAGATCTGACATGAGAATTCCCTAGTTTATTATTTTTAAAGTCATTTTTGGTCACGCACCTGTGGACAATTTAGAATCACAAATTTACCTCAACATGTTTTTGGACCGTGTGGGAGGAAGCCGGAGAACCCGGAGAGAACCCATGCTGCATTTGGAGAACATGTAAACTCCATGCGAACCGGCGACCTTCTTGCTGCGAGACAACAGTGCTAACCAACCGCGCCACCTTGCAGCCCCAGCTTGAATGTAAAAAATAATAATTTGATTGTGTCTGTAGGTGTGAATGTGAGTGTGCTTGGTTGTCTGTCTCTAAGTGTAGCCCTGTGATAGACTGGTGACCTGTCCAGGGTGTCTCCTGCCTTCACCCTAAGTCAGCTGGGATAGACTCCAGCCCCCCTTGACCCTAGTGAGGATGAAGTGGTGTGTAGATGATGGATGGATGGATGGATAATTTGATTATACTGAGAAAAATGCAATGTTTTCTCATTTTTTTATACTTGCTCTGGCTCATAGGAAAAAGATATCAGTTCTGGCTTGATTGGACCTTTGCTGGTGTGTCAAGAAGGAACCCTGAACAAGAAGTTAGAAGACACGAGGGAGTTTGTGCTGCTTTTCATGACATTCGATGAGTCCCAGAGCTGGTACTACGAGAAGAACCGCGAATTAATGCAACGGAAGACCAGAAGGAGAGTTTTGGAACCTTACTTGGGAGAGAACCTCAAGTTCCACTGTAAGGCTTTATGTACTTTTAACCTGTCTGAGCCCATATCATGCTTTTGGAGGTTTTTCCCTTTCCATTATTGTGTTATATAGCTGCTTTCTTGTGCAAATCATTACAACATATTGTCGTAAACCCCAGAAGAAAAAAAAAACAGAAACTTGTTAATGTGCAGAATAAAGGCTCCTATGTAACATGTAAGTTAAAGCTCACATAATTTATCCTGCTCATGACTCTGCACATGAGTTGCAGTGACTTCTTTTCAATGCATTGCAGTTTAATCAGCAACAGATAAATAATTCATTGGATCAAAAATTATATATATGATTTTTTTTGTTGTTGTTTCTTTAGCCATCAATGGAATTGTCTACAGCCTGAAGGGCCTGAGGATGTACACCAACCAGCTGGTGCGCTGGCACCTCATCAACATGGGTTCTCCCAAAGACCTACACAGTGTCTACTTCCACGGACAAACGTTCCTGCACAAGCAGACCACCAGCTACCGGCAGGCTGTTTACCCACTGCTGCCTGGTCAGAATACTTCTTTTGCAGCTTTTGTTCTTTCAAGTTTAAAGTAGAAGTCACAATCAAACAGCTTTAATGCAGAGAATAGCTCCAACATCGGCTGTATTGGAGGTCAGCAATGAAGGAGAGACAATATATTTCCCATTAATCACTTTCACAAACTGTCTTTGCAGGAAGCTTTGCTACTTTGGAGATGTATCCGTCCAAACCTGGCCTGTGGCAGCTGGAGACAGAAGTTGGTTTTAACCAACAGAAGGGCATGCAGACCCTCTTCCTGGTTCTAGATAATGGTGCAAAACATTTTAAAAATCATATATTTACAGTATGTTTTTCTGACCACACTTACATGTTGCATTTTATATTGAAACTTTGTTTTTGTGTCTCCCAGACTGTTACCGTCCACTGGGTCTGGAGTCAGGTAGCGTGAAGGACAAGCAGATCACAGCGATCAACACTAGAGGTAGACAAACCGCCTTTTCTGCACCAGTCACAATGACACAGTTCTGTGCTTCTGTACTTTTCTCAAGTTTTCCATGTTGTGCTACTTTCAGTGTCTGCTCTACAATATTCCAAAGGCAAATATTGGATTTTTACAGTGATGCAGATATGAATCACTAATTATAATCTCGTAATATAATATATATTTATGATTCTAAAATGAGCCATGCTGTACGATGAGCACTTTCACTTTAGCGTATACTATTATTTTTACACCTTACTCTAGTAGGATTTTAAGCAGGACTTTTAACTGTAATAGAGATTTTTTTTTTGTACTGTTGTATCCATACTTTTAGTACGAACAATGTGTGAAATTATTGAATAAATATTGCAGTAAAGCACAGTGAGCAACAAATTTATGAATGAGAATTTTTCCATCTTTGAAGGACACTGGGAGCCATATCTTGCCAGACTGAACAATGGCGGTAAATACAACGCATGGAGCACTGATCAGAACCACAGCTGGATTCAGGTATGTGGTGTGCACTATAAAAAAAAGAAAATAATTTAAAAATTTGGCAGCAGTGGCACCAGAAAAAATACATTAAGACACAAAACATTTCTGGAATTCTGTAACATTAAAAAAAACTGGTAAAGAAATAACAATAATAAACAAAAATAAAAAGTAATTTTATTACCATCTGCTTACCTGTGCAGGTGGACTTCCAGCGACCCGTTGTGATCAGTCAGGTGGCCACGCAGGGAGCCAAGCAGCTGTTCCAGTCGCAGTACGTGAAAAAGTACTCGATCTCCTACAGCAACGACCGCAGGAAGTGGATCTTCTACAAAGGCGACAGCAGGAACTTCAGGAAGGTGAGGAGAGTTTGATCTTCTACTTTACTGATGAAACAGCTGTGTGATCGCACTTGTTCACTCCTGTCTGTGTGTCTCTTCAACCAGGTGTTTGAAGGTAACAATGAGGCCTATCAGACGACCACAAACACCTTCTTTCCTCCTATGATTGGACGGTTCATTAGGCTCCACCCCATCGAATGGTACAACACGGCCACAGTCCGCATGGAGTTCTACGGCTGTGAGCTGGATGGTGAGATGTTACTATATATAAATATAAAATGTTAAATAAATGTTTCTGTATCCACACTTGCGCTAAATCAAGCTTCATGTCCTTTTAAAAGCCATGCCAACTTCTCCTGCATTGTTTTATAATTTCTCAAAATGTACAAAATCCACTTTTGTGCTCGAGTTCACGTTTGATTTATTTTGTTTGTTTTTTTTTTTAAACAAAATTGTTAAATTAAAATGAAACAAAAACATTTAAATTATTATTATTATTATTAGTCTCAAAGGCAATAATCAGGTCTTTGTAGAGTTATTCCATCTTAAATCATGATGTTTTGTATTACTGTGACATGCAGCTGCAAGAAATACCAGCAGTTGAATTCTGCATTGTCCATTTTTTGTTAATATGTGCTCAAAGATGGGACTTTTCATGACAACTTGTTTTTGGATTTCGACTCACCTATAATCAGAGATCTGCTTATCCAATACTGCAGACTCTGAATCAATGACAAAAAAATAAATAAAAGAGCAAGATGAGAGAATAATTAGAAGAAAAGTGATAAAAGATATATTAAAAGGACAAAATATAAGTTGAATTTCACAAAAGCAAAACAAGAAAAACATTTTTTAAAAAGGAAGTAGTAAATGATAGATCCAATAGACTAACATATGACAATGAAAAAGAAATAAAAGAATTTGAAAAAGATAAATAAAAACAATAGCCTTTCTTTATTTACAACTGCCATCTAGAAGTGAAACATAAGAACTGATAGAGAAATAAACTTTTTCATTTAAGCTTTAACTAATTTCTTAGTTATAAAAAAATCTGAAACTGTTGTTCCAAGTTCTGCTTTTCAAATTGGCGATAATACACTTGATCATGTTTAGGTTATTATAAAGCTTCAATTCTAGGAGGACATGTGCTGGGTGCCAGATTGTTGCCAATAGCACTCAGAAAGAAACACCACAGGAACAAGGAGAGCATGCAAACACTGCACAGACAAGTCAGACAGTAGGTTTGAACGATATGAAGTGCTTTAAGACAACATATGTTATGAACTGATGCTGTGTAAATAAAACTGAATTGAACTACTGCCCTTTGTATGCTTCATAAACATATCAATTTTCATAACAGTCAGACTTTTTTGATGTATTTTAAGTACTTAACTGAGTGTTATGACCAAGTTAAGGTTCCTGTAAATGCCACATTTCTGCTCTCGTGCTTCAGGCTGCTCAGTTCCCCTGGGCATGGAGAGCGGACTGATAGACGACAGTCGAATCACAGCGAGCTCCACGGCCTCCAGCTGGTACTCTGGATCCTGGAAACCTTCACTGGCACGCCTCAACAAACAGGGCACCATCAACGCATGGCGGGCGAAGGTAGGAAACCCAGTTCTGACATGACAGGTCACAAATTAGCAGCATTCAAGCAAATGTGTCTTTGTCACACACACAAAACAAAACAACCATGCATTTGGGTACTTTCATTGATTTATTCTGTGTCTTCTGAAAAAAGACAAAATTAGTTGAATCAAAAATGTTAATGTTTGGTTAAACTTCTTTTACCTCAGTGAGGTACTTCTGGCAGAGCACACTACTGCCACCACCATGCTCGACTGTGGACACTGACAGTTGTTTCCAGCTGCTTTTAATTCATTGCAAACCTGATTTCTATTGATTTTAAGTTGACTCTTGACCTTCCTGACCAGTTGTCTGTCGGCATCAGGTGATAGTTTGTGTTTTCTTCCTGATAGTGACACAACTGTACCAGGTACTTCATACTTACAAACTGCTGCTTGTGCAGATGATTTTAGGATCTGTAGCTGCTTTGAAATGGCTCCAAGTGACTTTCTTGACTCGTTCAAGATAAATATTTGCTTCTTTAGAGCTTTGCTGCCCTGCTCAGACTTTCCCACAGCAGTGTTTGTTGCTAAGTCTTATGAGTGAATCAAATTGATCCTAATTAAACTGCTTCTGAGGAGCCACCAGCAGTAGTCGATTGTACTCACCAACAAGTGAGGCACAAAAAAAATGTAAGCACAAAACTTTCTACACATCACCAAAACTGAATGAAGTTGCTGTATCTATGTTTTTGACCCAGCAGATTTGATCTTATTTCAAGAAGACCTGTAATAAATCTATGAAAGAACCAAAACGCGTAATTGTTTTTGCGACAAATATGCATGTTTCCATAATGCCATCATAGAAAATTAACAGTTGTGGGAGTCACTGGAAACTCAAGACTGCCATGACTTACATGGTCTTTACAAGTGTATATGTTAATAACTGTACATCAGGCAGAAACAGTGACTGAGTAACCTGCTAGCAGTATGGACACACCCACAGCCCAGACAACCCTCAAATGAAGAATTAAATAGCGTATAGATTGTATCAGCAGTTCAGAAATGTGTGCAAATGGCAACCTTACCATCTCTGCGTCCTCTGCTCTACAGTACAACGACATGGGCCAGTGGCTCACGGTGGAGCTGCCTCAGGTCAAGAAAATCACTGGTATCGTAACTCAGGGAGCCAAGTCTCTGGGCACAGAGATGTTTGTCAAGACCTACATCCTGCAATACAGCGACAACGGCATCCACTGGACCGACTACACCGACGATGAGGACCAGCCTTGCAGGGTGAGCTGCAACAAAAAAAACCACAGTGGAATTATAACATTGTGAAACCAGTTCTAAATTATTTCTTTCTCTCATCAAATGCAGTTATTTTTCGGAAACACAAACAACAACGACCACGTGAAGAACTACATCTTCCCTCCCATCTTCTCTCGCTTCATACGAATCGTTCCCAGAAGCTGGACGAGCTCCATCACCATGAGGATCGAGCTGCTGGGCTGCGACTTCGAGTGATAGAATAAAGACGGGGCAGGTCAAACATGCTCATATAAAGAGGTGTAGATATCAGGGGGGATATGTTACTGTCAATATTTACAGCGACTGCCAAAAAAACCATGAACCACTAACATAAAGAAGGAAATTTTAACCTAAAGTTGATGCAGATAGAGCCCCAAATCAGTGCATAAAAAAGCACTAGAATGCAGGAAATTAAGTCATCCACATAATATACACATGCAAACTTAAAAACACATGTAGGTCCACACATAAGCACATCCACTCTCACGCATACAGCCATGTGTATTACATATATAAATATACTGAGGCAGGCAAAAGCAAACACACACACATTTACTGCTTCGAGCATTTGTTAAACTCATCATACAGCCGGAGGAATTCAGCTGCTACATAAATTAGGACTCCTGCCACTGGGAAATTTCTTTTTTTTGTGTGTGCTAGACTTGCATGTTGCAATCAAGTGGGATGCAAAAAAGTTTAAACTGCAAGTGATTTGAACCATTTTTGTCACTAGTTTTGTGTGTTGTTGCATTTTTGAGTTGTGGCATCCTTCAGAAATAAACATGAATGAATGTAAATATGTAAGTAGAGATCATGTAATTTATTTTTTAATAAATACGATTCCCATTCTTTTTATTCGGTGTCCAGCTCAGTCATGTATGTCGACGCAGACGAATGTTTGCAAACGGAGAGCTCCGGCATGCTAACTATGAGTATGGGAGCCCCCGTATCTTCTCACGGTGTCTCCGAGGCGTCACTTTTAGCACCTTGGCTCATTCAGCGGCCACCGAAGGCCTTCCCAGCCAACAGACACGTGCAGCTGCAAACACATGTTGTGTTTATCCATTTGCTGAGCGTGTTAAACTGGGCGCTGGAGGTGTGAAAGTCTCAGCATGGCTGCGCTTCATGCTACTGATGTGTGAGGGCAAATTAACTTGCAGATAGTTTTATTAGACCTCTGGCTGTCTGGTGATGTCTGATGAGAACCAGCTGTTTGTCTTCCTGTCGCGCTGCTGTCGAAATACTGCAGATAATTATGACGTAAAGACATCCAGCTGCTCATTGCAGCACAACTTCTGGACAAAGATTCCACTTTGCACTTAAAAACACATGCAATATCAACCAGTATAGCAGCAGTTAATGTGCTCATCGTCTTAGCGTTAAAAAGTCATGTATAAAACAACCAATAGTCTCAGCTTTCAACTGTTAATGGCCACAGGTTACGTTACCAGGTCTGCAAAGTTCAGAAGTGTGCGTTAACTAAATCCCTGGAAAGGAAAGAACAGCGACCTAAGTTCTCATTTGCTTGTATTTTTAGAATTGTAGGATTCATCAAGCTGAGGAAACTACGTCAGCAAGAACCCAGCAAAGGAATAAAGGCAAATGTTTCATGACAGCTAAAACCCTCTGAACTCTAAAACTCTCGAAAGGAATGTTTTTTGTTTGTTTGTTCGTTTGTTTTTCACAAAATTACCAAAATTATCCAGTCAAAAACTAAAAAAAATAACATCTGATTTTTATTGTTCTGTCAGAAAAATGAAACAAATCTAAACTTAAAATCACAGCATCTCATCAAAGTCACACTTCTGCATGTCTCATTTAAGGTTTTGCCAAAACATTAGCTGTCTACTGACCAGATGATGTGAAAAAACAAAGCATTCCTTCATCTATGGCACATCCAATAAACCATTTCTGAGGAAGCAGCATTACTTTTCAGCTGAACTGCAGGCAGTGTTTTATAGAGTATGGAAACACAATAAAAATGTAAAATATCAATAGTATGTAGAGCTACCTTTCTTCCAGTATTGGTGCCACCTTTGGGCATTTGGAAAAATAGATACAGGTGGTGCAGTTGGTAGCACCGTTGCCTCGCAGCTAGAAGGTCACTGGTTTGCATCCCAGTGGGGGCACTGGGATCTTTCTGCGTGGAGTTTTTATGTTCTCCCCGTGCAGTGTGGGTTCTCTCCAGGTTCTCCAGCTTCCTCCCACACAGTCCAAAAACATGCTGAGGTTAATTGGTGATTCTAAATTGTCCGTAGGTGTAAATGTGAGTGTGCTTGGTTGTCTGTGTCTAAGTGTAGCCCTGTGATAGACTGGTGACCTGTCCAGGGTGTCACCTGCCTTCACCCTGAGTCGGCTGGGATAGACTCCAGCCCCCCACAACCCTAGTGAGGATTAAGTGGTGTATAGATAATGGATGGATGGAGATACATGTGCAGACAAAAACCAAACAGATAAAGAAATATCAACTAGTGAGCTGCCATCCAAAATCCGATTTTTAAAATGCACCTTAAATTCCTTCATCAGGAGACACAGTGATGTTCGGTTCACTCTGTTTAAGCTCAGTGTCGACTCACTCACTGCAGGCCTTTGTGCTGCGTCTTCATCAGCTGGGGAGGTTTGCTCTTTCCTCATTCAACTGACACCTCCATGAATGTCCTTTAACTTCACCTACTGTGGAAGACTGTGACTAAAAACAGCTGAAAGCTCTGACAAAAGCTAGTAAGTAGAGTTGAAATAATTTCTTTAGCTGCGTTGTTTTTTTGGTTTTTTTTTTATCACAGAGTATTTTGGGATGAAAACAAATGTTGGAGCAGCTGCAAGTGTGACGCTTCACCACCAGATGTCGCTCCGAGTTCACTTTGGCTGCAGAACAAGCTATCTTCCAGATAAAGTTTAGTCTGAGAGACTCCATCTGATAAGAGATCATATGATATAAGACAAGCAGACTTTCAAGGTCCTTCTGACTCACAGAGCAGCAACATGAAACTGGAGCTATGCAAATAGGACTTTTTTTTCCCCAACTCACCCGTGCAATGCCACATTTAGAAGTTAATTAATATTCAGAGAACTTGATTTTAACAAATATAAAGCAGATAAAGTTTCTGGTGAAAAAAAAATCACTATAATAATAATACTGTAAATCATTGTTGGAGCCATATTCAGGTCCTCCATGAGACTTTACAGGCTAATAAATAAATAAATACACATTTATATGATTATTTTTACTGCATTTTGTCAATTTGTATCTGTAGA